TCATGATCCATGCTATTTATATTTACCAAATGAAACGATTTTTCTTTAATTTAAAAATTATAAAAAAGAATTAAAATTTTAAAACTATCTAATTCGTTTAACAGTATAAATTTTATTATTAAATTAAATTTATAAATAATATCTAATTTAATTATTGTAGAAAATATGTACAATATATCTTTATTGTTATTTAATATTTTACATATAATTATTAATATATATTTATAAACCATGAGATCATGTATTTTTTAAATATATTTTCTTTTTTACCTTGTATAAATTATTATATTTCTAAATTAAAGCTGTTTTTTAAATAAAATTATTCGCACTAAAAAAAATTTACACTGCCTATATGGATCCTAGAGGTCTGCAATAAGGGGTTTTTAGCCCACAAGATAGCACATCCAATATTTTTAAAAAAAATTAACCCATCCGCCATAAGTTTTTATAAAAAATATAACCGCTCACCCTTTAGTCTAAAATTCCTTACCCAGCCACCCATATCAAATTTAAATAAGCTAATTCTTTTAAGCATCTAATTAAAAAAAAAATATTTTCAGCATTATATCCCTAAAAAAAGTTTTATAATTTGGGAAATTTCTATTAAGCATAAAAAATTTTTTTTTTCTCTTTAGCTTTCACCTTTTCTGGTGGTAAGCTCCTTCAACATCTCTCTCCACTTTATGTTATTCGTACAATCTCTTTTATCTATTTTATACTTCTTTATATTGGCTCTAACTTTATGGCCCCATTGAAGTTTTGGCCTTCCTCTTTTACGTTTGCCCATCACTTCCAATCTTTCAACTTTATTTCCTATGTAGTTCATAGGCCTTCTCATTGTGTGCCCATACCACCTAAGTCTGTTTACCATTAACTTAGTCTTAATGGGCACTACCTTTAAACTATTTAGTATTCTTGTACTGCGCACCTTATCCTTTCTTGTTACCCCAGCAATCATCCTCAGCATTCTCATCTCCATAGTTTGTAGACTTCTCTCGTCTGATTCTTTGGTTGGCCATGTTTCCGAACTATATAGAATAGTTGGTTGTACTATGGAACTGTAAATTTTTCCCTTTAATTTGTGTGGGATTCTTTTGTCAAATAGCACTCCAGATAAAGATCTCCACTTTAACCACCCTTGATTAATCTTATTCTTTATCTCTTTTTCTATTGTGCCGTTTGTTTGTATAGTGGAGCCCAAATATTTGCAGCTTTCAATTGCGGATATCTGCCAATCATTTATATCAATACTCTCCGTTTCATCTCCTCCTATCACCATATACTCCGTCTTTTCTCTATTTACTTTTAATCCGTGCGTTTCTAGGATATTTATCCAATTCACTAACCTTTCTTTCATTTCATCCTTGGATTCGGCAAGTATCACAATATCATCTGCAAATATCATATTCCACGGGACTGTTTGAGGTATAGACTGTGCTAATACATCTATTACTGTAATGAAGAGAAGTGGGCTGAGAGCCGACCCTTGATGAACTCCTTCGGCTATTGTGAAGCCTGCTGAAGTACCTGTTGTGCTACGGACCATTGTTGTATGTCCCATATACATATCCTCTATTATTCTTATATATTTTTCGGGAACTTTTTTGTGGCGTAGCGCCCACCAGATAAGTTTTCTTGGGATTCTATCGAAGGCCTTTTCTAGATCGAGAAAGACCATGTGTAGCTTTTTGTTCTTTTCCCTGTATTTTTCACTCATTTGCCTAATTGCATGGATAGCATCGGTTGTTGATCTTCCAGGCATAAAGCCAAACTGTGTCTCTCCTATTTCGATTATATCTCTTAATCTTTTTTCTATTATTTTTTCGTATAGTTTTAGACAGTGTGACATTAGTTTTATGCCCCTGTAATTTTGACAATTGTGTGGATCCCCTTTATTTTTGAAGATAGGAACTAGATAGCTCTGCCTCCATTTTTGGGGGACCTCTTCATTTCCAAGTATTTTATTGTACAGATTTGTGAGGAGATGTATTCCATCATCTCCTAGTGCTTTAAGGCTTTCTATTGGAATATCGTCTGGACCCCTAGCTTTGTTGTTTTTCATATGCTTGAGGCATGTGATTATTTCTTGTTCTGTTATAGGTTGTACAAGGTTTTGACAAGGGGAGTGTTCGTCGAGATGCAATATGTGGGAATTAAAGTTGAGAAGCTCCTGAAAATATTCTTTCCATCTATTCATTATTTCTTTTTCCTTTATTATCAATTTCCCATCTTTATTTTTGATTACTTTCGGAGCTCCGTTTATATCCCTAGAGTTCTTTTCTCGCTGTTTGGCTAATCTGTATATTTTATTTTGCCCTTCTTTGGTATGTAGATCTTCGTACATGTCATCGTATGCCATAGATTTGGCCCTAGCCACCGCCTTTGTAGCTAATCTCTTGGATTTTTTGTATCTTGACTTGTCATCTGCATTTTTGGATTTGTACCATATTTTATAAAGGGCTTTTTTCTCCTGTATAGTGGTTTGTACCTCTTGATTCCACCACCATAGTTCTTTGTGTGATTTGTTGCCTCCTCTTGTCAAGCCTAGCGTCGATTTTGCAGTGTCTATTAATCTGGATGAAAGGTCTGTCCAGATTTTTTCACTGACTTGTGAGCAATTTATTGTTTCAATGTTTGCATTGATTGCAAAGGCATCTGTCATTGTTTTTAATTTGCCCCATTTGATGCATGGTTCCAGTTTTATCTTATTTTGAGTGGATTTATTTGAGATTTGTAAATCCATGATTAGTAGCTTGTGTTGCGCGGCGATATCTTCTCCTGGGATGACTTTGCAGTCTATTACATCTTTTAATCTTCTGCGAGAGATTAGCATGTAATCTATCTGTGTTTTCCTAGTACCACTTTCATATGTTATTAAATGACTGTCTTTTTTCCTATAGTAGGTGTTGGTTAAGGCAAGGTCGAAGGCTTGCGCAAATTTCAGTACGTGCTCTCCTTCATCATTTCTTTCTCCGTATCCAAAACCACCATGATGCCTTTTGTAGCTATCTCTTGCTTTCCCCACATGCGCATTTAAGTCACCACCAATTATGACTAGGTCATCCTTAGGGATTTCCATTACAGCTTCATCAAGGATAGCTCTAAAGTCATCTTTCTCTTCTTCCTTGCAACCCGTTTGAGGAGCATATACTGAAAGGATGTGTAGTATTGATTGACCAATGCAGAGTTTTATCTTCATTAGTCTATCAGAGATCCTGTTGACTTCTACAACTGAGGAGGTTAGATCTTGACTGAGGATGATGCCGACACCGTTCCTATTGCTAACAAGTCCATTATAGTACAATTTATACCCATCTCCAATCATCAAAGTTTTCTGTCCTTTCCATTTCGTCTCTTGTATGCACGCTATATCAACTTTTCTCCTGTTCAACATTGATGCCAATTCTCTCGTCTTACCTTTAAGCGTCCCAATATTCAAACTTGCCAGTCTTGTCTTCTTTGCTTTGACCTTTACTTTATTTTTCACAGGATGGAGGTCTACACCCTGCGCGTCGCATGGAGGGAACGCCCTAGCTTTCATATTCATATTTTCATTTGTGTCCTTCATTTTGTTTATTGGACAGGTATCCTTAGCACCCGGCTGTCCAGGCCTGTCGGTGACCGGGGTGTCATCTCTAAGCTCCGAAATTCATCATACCATATGTCTTTACACATCAGTCATCGAAGAAAAACTTGAAAGTTTTTATGGTTCTTACCAGGATTGAACCCGCGTCCTTGTTCATGCTCGTGTTTCCAAGCCTACATCTTACCCATTAGGCCACCCCATAAAAAATAATCAACTTAAATTACGGATAAGTAATTTAATTGATCTAATAAATTATTTATGTAATAAAATAAAATTGATATTTATCAAGAATAGAATATCAAGATTAAAATATTCAAGAGAAGTTAAATATATTCTTAATGACTTTTTCCCAAGTTCATGTGACTTGCCCACAAATTTAAGGGCTCCTCATTTTTTCTCCCCCTAAATTAAAAGTTTGATAGATTTTGAGGAAAACCAAGCATAACTCTGTTGTATCCACAACCAGAGGGTGAAAACGCCTTCATCATGTAATATTTATTGATATTACCAAGGTTGAGAACTCAAACCCTTCTTAAAAATTTAAGGTTCATAGTACAAGCTATTTTCTTTTTGAAAAAAAAATTTAATAGTGAAGTCTTAATGACGATATTATAATTCGATTGAATAAAAATTTTAAAATAGAAATATTATTTTTAAATTGTATTATATTATAATTAATTTTTATAAGTTATTATTTTTCTGGTCTCCAAACCCTGAACTAGTGTTGTTAAAAGCCCGATTTTTAAACGGCCTGATTAAGATTATAACTAAAATAGTATTGTGTAGGCTTGGTGATTTTGCTCATAGATGGCATGGCAGAAATGTTTGGGTTTCTACTTGCCAAATCTTGAGGCTTATACAAAAATATTTGGCTAAAACTTAATTGGGCCATAGTTGCAGCTATTTTTTATGATTAATGGATAGTTATTTTAATGGCTAATAGTTGCCTATTAAAACATTTTTGAAAAAATTTGTCAACTGACTTTGTACTCTTGAAGGGTGGGTAGGGATGCAATCTCCATTTGAACTGATTTAAAAAATAGTTAACTTATCCATAAATATTACACAAGCAAGAAAATTTTGCTCATATATTTTACAGTTTTATACATTTATAAGTAAATCTTGAGGCTTAGGCAATATTTCTCTGGCTAAAACATTATATATTTAAAAAATCAGCTCAAATGAGTACAAAGTCAATTGACAAATTTTTTCAAAAATGCTTGTTTTTCATATCAAATAAATTTTTTCTTTTGGTTGAGTCCTACTTTTTATGAAAGATCAATCATTATTTTTTGGAAAGTTGAAGGAAAACATATTTATATACATAAGATTGCAAATTTTTCTGCATATTTAATTCAATTATAAAAATGTTTTAATAGAAAGTGATTGTTTTTTTTATCTAAAAATTTGAAAACCATAATTTATTATCTTTTTTTAATCAGGCAAATAAATATAATATCCTTTATATAATAGTAATTATTTTTAAAGTATTTATTTTTTTTCTTCCATTTCCTTGGCTTTTTTCTGTCTTATTCCAGCTAACTTCACATCAGATCGAGTCATTCTTAATGTATCATATGCCTTAAAGTCCTTTTCTTCCTAAAATTTAAATAATTCCATAAATCATATTATATAATTATTAACTTCAGTAATAAGTCTGGCCTTTTCTTTTTTGAAATTTGTATGTTTGATTGGCAAAATTGTACCTTTCAGTTGGAGAGCCATTTTTAGGTCTTCAGGCTTTATTATAAAATAATTCAGATATTACTAAGTAAATTTTTTGCCATAACAATATATATTAAACTAGAAAACTAATTTAATTTATATAAATGAATCTATTAATTATTTTGACTAAAATTAATAGTGTACAAGTATTGAATGAAACTAATTGTAACAATGCAAATCCATGAATAAAATTTTTAACAAATAATTTTACTGATGAATCAGTTTTTTTCGGTTTAGCCATATTTAATGGGAACAAAATAAGCCTTGATTTATATTCCTTCAGTCTCTGAACATTGATTTGCAAGCCTTCAACAGATCTATTCCTGCGCCTATGATCTACTGTTATACCAATTGTCCTGGCATATCTTTTAGGTATTTTTGCAGTCTTAAGTTAATATATTTTGGTCAGAATTTTACTGTAATAAAATATAAACTTTCAATTCTTCAATAGAAAATCCTCTTCCAAGTCTAATTTTTTTATTATAGCGAATAGTAGGGCACCTAACAACAGGCCTTAACGGTCCTGCAACTGGTCTTGGAGCTAATCTTCTAGCTTTTTCTGTTCTCTTTCTAAATAAAATTATATTAATTAAATAATGAAATATTTATCTTATGTAAGTTAAATATCGAACCATAATTATTTAATATAAGCTTTGTGTACAACCAGTAAATACTTATAATCAACAAGTGGTCAATAAAGCTGGTAAATTTAATAAAATAATTACTTATGTCTTCGTTTTTTATTCATAGGTTGGTTAAACCATGTTTTAACCATATTCTTCCAATCCTTATGGAAATGGCCATTTGGAATCATATTATTTCTCTTACCCGTCATATCTACCTAAGTTATTATGATTTATATTTTTAAGTGGCCCAGCACGTGAAAAATGTTGAAATGATGCGAATATAAAGTTTGATTTGTGTTAAATGATGTTCGGTTAAGAAATATTAATGTAATTATCAAAATTCAATAGTTTTTAATTATCAATATAATATTTTATTGATTATATTTTAAAAAGCTTTTTATAATATATAACGTGGACACAAAATATTGTAGGCTTATATAATGTTTTAATATTGTAATAAATCTGTTTAATATATAATATTTATTAACATTTGTGAGAATTTTAAGTTCGGTTTTCCGGTGCGAATGTATATGAAAAAGAGTAAATTAGTAGACCTCATCATCTATTATTCCAGTGACTTATTGCTGTGTCGCTGGGTTGAAAGGCAGAATTGCTCTTCGCGAGAAAAGGAGTGAGGTGCCCTCATAGAAGAACTATTATAAGATCTTCTAGCCATTCACTCGCTTAAGGCGGGGGACGGGACCGGAAACGCTGGAACCCTTTCATTTCATGGGTCTGGCAGATTTTTTGAAATAGAAATGTCCACAATATTTCTATCTTTTCTAAAAATTTTACCAAAATATATAAAATAATATTAACATAGTATTTTAAAATTGCAATTTTTATATTTTGTTTTAAAAAATAATATTCTTTAGGTTATGATGTAAGGGCTCTTATTTTGCTGCCCATATTTTTTAAAAATTTTAAAGTTCCGCATGACATATGTCGAAGGGAAGAGCTAACGATTGGTAAAAAAAATATAATTTGATAACTTGGAATATTTAATTGTTTTTTTTCCGGCTATATCAACCGGGTCAGAATTTAAATTTTTTGGAGATGAAGAGAAGCATGTGAATTCCCAAATTAAGGATTTATCTACAGACCAAGGCACAGAAGTTAAACCATCTGTCTTAGGCCATCATCTAATGATAAATTCGCAGGCTCCACATAGGCCTAGCGAAGACAAGGGGAAATCCCCCCCCCCCTTCAGAATTTTTTTTTTTGTGAATATCATTTTAAGCTAATAAAAAAATATCCCCCTTAGTCCTCCCCCACTTCCTGACCCCCAAAAATGTATGCATATAACTTTAACAATAATTTGAAAGAAAGAATGTAAAAGTTAATATTTTTTATAAAAATATTCATCATATTTTATACATTTTTGGAAAAAAGCATTTATATATAAAAAAAGTGACCCAAAAATGCTTTTTAAGAAATGGAATATAAGATAAGTCTTAAGACAAAAGTGAAATGTATTATAATTATTAATAATATAATATATCAAATAGAATTTTTTATAAAGTGAGTAATTTTAATTTGTTTATCTTAATAAAAGTAAAATATAATTATAAAACTATTGATAAAATTAAATCATAAATTAATTTAAAAAATTAAAGGACAATACAAACAGTGGAATATTATATGTCGTTTATCAATTATCATATGACAATCAAGTAATTTTTACCAATATAGCGAATTATATATTTTACAGAATATAAAATATTGATAAGGACATCAGAAAATATCTTTTAAAGACATTGTGAGATAAATAATATGAAGATTAATTTTTAATATTTTATTTAAAATAAATAGATTGCGTTAAATATTTGAATGCAAATTGTTGCTATATTTATTATCAGCATTGATTAGTTAGTATAATTTATTAAAATATTAACTGTAATATATTCTCGAACTGTCAAATATGTCTGTAAAAGTGGAATTTTACTTAATATTTTGTAACTAATTTATAATAGAGGAATATCAACTATATGCCTACTTACTTTTTCTAAATAAATATTTTATACTTGTTTGGAAATTATTACCATGATTTTATATTAATGTATATACAAGTAATTTATTATATTTTTTATAAACTAATAAAAATTTATTTCATATTTGTTTCAGGCTTATTTTTTTTTATTTAAAAGTAACCTCCTACTTGTAAACATATTTAATGACTATATATAAACTAAGGTAACCTGGCCGAAGGCCGGGCAAAAGCAGCCCGAAGGCCCGCCCAAAACAGGGTCTGAGGGCGAAGCCCCTAGTAATTTTTTGATTCCTCCCTAATCCCACTTAGGAAAATCCTGGCTATGCCTATGATCTTAACAGTCGAAAAAATTCCCTAATCTTTGAGGCAAGAGTATTTTGTTTTTCAAGATTGAGTAATCTTTCGTTTAAACCTTAATTGAGGCTATGATAATAGTTTCGCTTAGATTAGGTTTAGCCTTTTTAGTCAGCTTAAAACCTGTTGAAAATGGAGCCATATATTACCACTGCTTGCTGATAGTGAATCTACCCCTGTACTTTAAATATCCAATGTATAGAAATTATAAATTTCTCAAATAAAATTTTATTAAATACATCTATGGGTCAATAATATCATATTTATAGAATATCTCAATAGATCGAGAGTTCCGCTGCCTGTAGTTGACACCACTGTTATAAATTAAATTTTTTTAAATCTGACATAAATGTTAATTGTTAATACATTAACTATTAAATTTTTATTAGCCTTTATTCTTTAAATATAATTAATATTTTCTAAATTTTATTAACCTGAAGATAATTTCTAATAATATCCATAAATATTGTATAAATGAAAAATTAAAAATTTTAATCTTAGTTGATAATAAAATATTAAATAAAAATATTGATAAATAAAACTTTTTTTTTCTATCTTATACGGCTACAAAAAAAATATGAAAAAGAAAAAAACACATATTTTTAAATTTTATAAGAATATTATAAAGAAAAGAGATTCAAATTTGTAACTTGTGAAAATATTAATCATTTTTGGCCAGGGGAGTTCAGCCCTTCCAAAATTTATAAAAAGGGTTAAAAATCAAAAAATATACACGGGGATTATACCTCCGGAGCTCTCCTTGCAATAAATCCCCTGATTATCATTTAGATATATTTTATGGGTTTTATTTATTTAAAAAAAATAATTTTCCCTTTTGAAAGACGAGTTTTGCTCCTTACATTTTTAAACATTATTTTAGAATTCATTATAAAGATAATCAATTAGCTTTTAATAATAAATAAAGAGAATAAACAGATTCACAATAATATTCATAAGTAAAATATTTGAGATATAAAGGTTTTAGGTAATCAAACTTATACTAGATAGCTCATACCGCAATGAAACATCTAGCAATTTTAAAAATTAGTATTCAAATTATGAAAATTTATGAGATGACATGAATTATATTTAAAAAAAACGATAAATACTAAGAGACCACTTAGAGACCTTTTTCAAATGAGAACGTAAGGGCAAGGGGAAACGTTCCGATAAAAGGGTGAGGCTTTATAAAATTTATCAAATACAATTGCTATGTACGGTTTGTTATCATGGTAAGGCTCGATTTGGATCGATTTTAAAAAACCACCACCATAGATTTTAACCAAAATATAAGCCTGGAGATTTGGAAAATAGAGGCCAAAATCTTTCTGCCATCTGTTAGTAAAATTTACAGGCTTCCATAATAATATTAAGGCTAAAATTCTAATAGAATCAATTTTTAAAATTCAACCCAAAGAGAGAAATCTAATTTTAAAAAGGGCCATAAAGTACAAACAAGTTAGTTTGAAACTACATAGCATACAAGACACCAGCTGATTATGATGAATCAAATAAAAAAATGATTTTTTATCCTTTAATTAATTTATTTGGGTAAAGCATGCTGCGATAGTTCGAAAAGATTGGTAGGTGAAAAAGATGTAAACACAAGGAAAAACTTTTAGGCAGTTATGTGGTGAAGGGAACTTATTCCCGACCGTTATAAGTGCTCTAAAGTATCTAGAGTAAATTGTTTTAAGGGAAAACCTGATCGGTAGCTTATCTGATTAAGAATCTATAAAATTAAAAAATCAGTACTAATTTTTTTTGAAATAATAGGGCAGTTTGCATGTGTTCAAATAATTTTTTTAAAAATATTTTATTAACCTGGGAAATTATAGAAGATGCTAAGTCTTCTGTATTTTTATAACTTTCACATTCATTCCAAATATAACTATAAAAATGGAAATATATATTTAAAACGTTTATAATATAAAACCAATAATATTTGGGTACAAAATAAAATACTTCTGACTATCGGGGTAACAAGGGGGATGGGCAAGGTAAAATACCCTTTCGGAAATTTGCCTGTTCTCATAAATATTATTTTAAGCGAATAAACCTTCCCACCCAGCCCCTTACTATCCCTTAAAAATATGTACAATATATTACTTAAAAAGAAGAATTTTAATGAAAAGTTAGAAAAAGTTAATATAACCACTATATTACAAAATATTTAGAAAAAAGCAATTTTATAAAAAAATAATAGTGAAAACCCAAAATTATTTATATAAAAATTTAATAATAGCCAAAATCCTACAATAAGTAGGAAAAGAGATATCCACTAAAACTTTTGAGGAAAAAACGCTCTAGCGTCTACATGACAGGATTTTCATTGGATGCAAACTCCATTCAAAAACCCTCAATGTTATTATCCATTATTGTTTTCTTGATTTTTGTCTTATACAAAATTTGTCACGCTAAATTATGGTTCGACCACCAACACGAAATCAGAGTCAGCCCGCACCATTTTTTATCCCTCATCAAGAGCTAACGCCCAATAACTCTTTGGAGGGCCCCGCTAGCGATCCGACCATTGCAGCCATCGTCACAGCCATGCAAGCAATCACGACGCAAATGGCCGAATTAACGCGGGAGAGCAAGGCTAAAAGAATCAGATCGCCCTCCCCACATACCTCGACGCCAAGACGACAAGACGGTCGTGCACCCACACCACCGCCACCCGCACCCGCCACCATTGTCACCCCTGCCGTACCAATCGTCCCTCTCACTCCCTTAGAGAAGTACGACAAGCTCCGCAAAGTTTGGGCAGGCCTACAACAAGACCTTCTAGTAGTGTTGTTAAATGGTTGGTTTTTTACGACCCACAACCCGAGCCGAAGTCGTAGAAATCTGCTCAACCCTGAGCCAGGGTTGAAAAATCGACTACGACCCAACCCGACCCAATGGGCATGTTGAGCCGACCCATTTGGTCGGCTTGCTGGGTCGGCTTA